TCTCGTGATGATGCATGATAAGTGATTCTTGAGATTTGTGATACAGTTTGCCCTCAGCCACCTAATATAATTTCATCATCGTCATCAAAAATTAACGCCTAGTGTTACGGTGAGTTTATTTTCAAAAATGAAAATATTGCGAACCTCGTGAATTCAGTTTCATCATTAACCGAAACTGAACCTAACTTGGTGACGCCAAACTCATATTCTATCGATCCCCTTATCACGTTTGGAATGTAGCATATTGCGTAGTCGATAATGTTTTGAGAATCCTGTTCTATTTAATTGTCAGAACTTGAAAATCCATGCTGACTTCAATCGCTGCCATATATGCAGTTGAAGCGGGCGATGCGAAAGATTTTTCCCTGGCCGACATGGACAGCAAAGGCATATGATAATGCGAATCATCAGGTGTCACGTCTCTTTAAATTTGTTGGCGTCAACTCTTGGGTTTTCTGCTTTAGGAGATCAGAAACAAAGAGAGAGACACAAGAAAGGTTTAAGCGTTCAAAGCCCGACAGTTATCCGACGTTCGATTCATGGATCGATCGCCCTTACATAATTTCTTGGCCAACGGGCGTATTCCTAAAAAAAAAATGTGGCACACCAAATTTTGTTACGTCTAACCAACCAATGTTCCACCATGATATAATGTTATTTCAGCAAGACGATGTCAATGTAGTTGAATTTTGCGATTCAGAAGGCAACTCTCTTGGGGAATGATATCGCTTTCGGGGAAGGGACGGTTATTTTTGCACTTGCGTTGATGACTTTGAGCTTCAAACCGATTCCTCGAAATGGTCACATTCGACCCATTTTTGGAAATTTAATTAACTGCTGATTACGTGTAACAAAAGAATTCTTGTGAAATACAAGCCACTGTCCGATTAGGATGAGGGACGAGATCCTTATTACGTAAAGTGTACCGTGCGTTTGGTATCCAGGTTGTAAGTTGACCCAATTCAAATGTGATCAAAGTTACAGTATTTAAGAATTCGATAATCGTTGTTGCTTCGTAGGAGCTATTGATTAAGTAAGTTAATACACGGTGTACATATATACCGTACTTTAAAGAGAATGGTATGATAAATTGGAATAAGTAAGCATTGATAATTTCTTTTTTTTTCAGGTTGCACGAATCCCGTTGAAATTATCACATTGTTTGTTTGTTATAGAAATATTTGATGGCTTTTATACTTGCGAGAAGTAATAAATCACACATACAAATATTTTATTATAATATATACTGTATATGCTAATTATTTATATTGCGTACTACAAAAATATTCAATATAAGGACACCATTGAGCGTATTTATACTCAGGCAGCTTGGTCGTCAATTTTTGCGGACAAGTTTAAGGGCCCTTTCTTATGTATTTTTCTCCAATTTAGTCCTAGTGTGCCCTTAAAGAAGCTAGGGTTCATTTGCTGATTTATGCCGAAATCTAAGCAAATGACCTCCATAGGTGAAGCTTTTCAAAAACAATGAGTTATAATTTACCTTAAAACCACACAATTTTCCTTCAGCTTTTTTTTTTAAAAAAAAATCTTTTTTCGAACAAACCGTTTGATCTTACGAGATAAACAGCAAGCACAAAAAAGAAAAAAAAAAAAAAATCTCTGTTAATTCCTTTTCTTTTCCTTAAAAAAAAAAAAAGTGCGCGCGCGTGTGAAAATTCATTGGAAATATGACCCACATTCCAGATCAGCTACTGCAATACCCACAGCATTATAGTAATAACAATAATCATCAATGGATTATTGTCGATGAATCGTCCTCAATTTCATCCCCGAATCAACGAGCCAACAGACCCGCACCACCGATACCACTCATTAAAGTACCTTTTCCTCCTCTGGTAAACCCGGAGGAATTAATAACCAGGCCGAGGAAAGCAAAATCGAAGGCACCCACAAAACCTCCCAATGCATTCATGATTTACAGAATGCAATACGTCAAAGAGCTTCACGCGAGGGAGCACCGACTACCCATGAGGAGTGTTTCGGCGGCCGTAGCCAGTTCGTGGAGGGGAGAGCCGGAACACGTGGTTGAACACTACGAGG